GTGTGTGTGAGAGAGAGAGAGAGAGAGAGAGAGAGAGAGAGAGTAGTGTGGAGGAGAATGGATTTTGTGAAATCAGTGAATAGAGAAATGAGGGTAGATGAGTGAATAGGAAAGTATATATATACGGGGATAAGTTGGGGTGGGGAACGGGAACGAGAACGGGGCCGGGGCCGGGCCGAGGCTGTGAAAGTGATCCCGTCCCCGGCCCGAATTTGATCGGGGATTCAACTTTAAATACCATCTCCGGCCCGTCGGGACTATTTTTCGAGGAAAAACCACTCTTATCGAGGACGGGATCGGGTCCCCTTCGGGCCGGTTTCAAATTGCCATCCCTAATGAGTTGTAGTACTCCAATTAAAAAAGTAGACTCAATTTTTCAATTTAGAGATTGTTTGAGATAATCTATATAAGTATATTTTTTAATTTTTTTATTAACAAAATTAGAAAAAAAATATATGCACTGTGTTTAGTTTGAGTTTTGTAGATTAAGTTTTTTAAAAATTGACTTTTTTTATTTTTGTGTTTTTTTGTTTTTAGTGAATATTTTTTAAATTTTAAACATTTTTTTTTATTTTTTTAGATGCACCTTACTTAGATATATCTAAAAAGTAAAAAATTTGTGAAAAAATATTTTAAAAAATTAATAAATACATAAAAATACAAAAAATGTACTGAATTCTTGTAATTTTTTTTTTGTATTTTTGGTATTTAGTGAATTTTTAAAAGATTTTTTTTACAATTTTTTTACTTTTTAGGTGCATTTATGTTAGGTGTGTCTAAAAAGTAAAAAAATTGCTTAAAATATTAAAAAAAATTCAGTAAAAATAAAAAAATACAAAAAATAAGAAAGTAAAATTTTCTGAAAAATATTTTGAAAAACTAGAAACCAAAGCAAGGTGATGAGTGTTTGAGATAATTTTTTGATTTTTTACAAATAAATGTGTATTATAATATTGTAATAAATATGCAAATGACCTGTTTGCCCCTACTCCCCTATTCGTCGTAGTGACTGTGCGTCACGTGAAGTGCCAGTACGGCTTGTGCATTGTGTGGTGGACGGCTCCTGAGAAGATATATCAAGTATTTTTTATTTTTTATTTTTTTTTGGTACAAGTTGCGAGGGAAGTACAAAACAGGGGCATTTCGGTCTTTTTAGCCTCTGACCCGCGTTGTTTTCCGCCCTCCATTTTTTTTTTTTTTTTTTTAGGTCTACCCAAATAGCTACTTAACAATGTGTTAGTTTATTGAAATCTCAAAACAACTTTTTTTCATGTCTTCTGTGATCATTAATTAATTTTTATTTTTACACATCATTGAATTTTAAAAATAGATCTACTAAGCCTCTGTTTGGCAAGATGGTTTTCAGGTTTTTTTGGCTATTTTAGCCACAAAAAACAAAATAGGCTATTTTAGCCATAACAAACAAAACATCACATCCAACCTATAATCATTACATTCTTATCTCACAAAAAAATTTAAAAAAGCCAAAAAGCCCTTCCCAAATCAAGCTTTATAGCCCAGGCTAAAATAGCCAAAAAAGCCAAAAAACCAAAAAGCCAACATACTTCCCAAACCAAGCCTAAGTAAGTTTATATATCATTTTTCTTGTGTATAATATTGTTGTAATTATAGTCCAAAAGTTAGAGTCATTTTTCAAAATTAATGATATGGTAATCTATTAAAATATTTAAAACAACTATTTTTCTTTATTGTTTTTTTTTCTAATTATTAACTAATCTATTTTATACTTATTCTTGATGTGAGACAATAAATAGAAAACTAACTAAATATGGCAATAAAAAATGATAAAAAATCTTAATACACATCTTTTTGAGCAAAACCCACATCCTTCACTTCCCTTTACAAAACCCAAATCCTTTGCACACCTCATCATCTGTTTCCCCTTTTCAACGACGTCAAGCAAAAAAGGCCAGGTGAATTTAATGTTTATGTCAAAGCTATAAGGCCCCGTTTGTTTTCCTCTTTCACAGTCCGGAGTGGACTGTGAATGATGAACAGTGACCATACCTTCTGTTTGTTTACAGATTTGGGGAATGGATTCATAAGCCGGAGGGCTTCAAATGGGCCTTGGATGTTAGGATTGTTAGTCTGCCCCAACATTTGGTATTGAATATTAGTCCGTTGGTATTAGGATAGTAATTTACTTGTTTACCCTCTTCTCTTCTCCTTCTCTCTCAATCTATCTCTGTTCTCTTATCATATATATATATATATATATATATGTATATTTCATTCGATGTCTCACCAACCAAACATAAATGTAGACAAATTGCAAATTAGAATAGTAAAATTGAAGAGTGATGCTCCAATCTTCGATTAAATCAAACAAAACAGATACAAATCAAAAGACATAGTATATGATATACATATACATATATATATATATATATATGCAGATAATATATATACCTTTGATCTCCTCAGTTGAGGGATTGATTACAGAGATAATTTTCTTCTTCACAGGCTCTCTCCATTCACGTTTCTTCTTCTTCGCCATTGACTCTCTCTTCCCCCCCTCTCTCTCTTTCTCTCTCTATCTATCTATCTATCTATCTATCTATCTATAATAATAATAATAATAATAATAAGAGGTATATATATTATTTATTAATAGCTGAATTTTATTAGTAGATGAGAGGGTAATTTATAAAGTAAATTGGACCGAGCTGTGTAATGGGCCATTCTGTGGGCCGAGGTAAGAAAGGGCTGAGTAAAAAGACCTTGTAGTTAGCGCGGTCCTAAAAAAGCCTTGAAGTTAGCTCGGTCACCACGGTAACAAATAGCTCGGTCATGCCATTCTGAGCCAAGACGAATTAAGCTTTCCTCAAGACCTTGCTCTAGATTAGTTCGGCCCAAGCTTGCTATGGTTAGCTCAGTTTCAACAGGTGAAACCGAGGTACAAGCCATGAAGGGGAGAACCGAGCTAGTTAGAGCTCGGTCGTTGTTGCCAGTTTAGCATGGTCATGTTAGCTCGGTCGTTTTGTCGTACTACCGAGATAAAACCATCTCACTTGGTTTAAGCAGTGAGGGGGGTGTTGAAGGATAAGTATTATCTTTCAGGAAAGTGATTCCTAGGAGGACTCTGCATGGAGGAATAAGAGTCCAACTAGGATTGTGCCACGTGGAACCTATAAAAGTTCATAACATCACCTATGGAGAGGTAACACAACTTTGATTCCTGAATTCACAGAACTTTTGTGTCTATTGCCTATTGTGCTGACTAAGGCATCGGAGGGGTTTCCGGCACACTCCTGCCGGTTAGCTCACATTTGTGTTTTCAGGCGGCAAAGTGACGACGTTCGGAGGAGTGCAAGCTTGATCAACAGGATCATATGAGAAAAATTATTTCGTACTCTTACAATTGGCACCGTCTGTGGGAATTCCACATAGAACAAAACCTCTTGATCAAGCTTTCCTCACTAGTTGAGATCAATGGCGCACAATGAAGACTTACCGCAGTCCGCTATCGACGGAAAAACCCCAGAGGGGGGTAGGAGGAGCAAAGGTTTGCCTTCTATCCCTCCCATGGCGGATTTAGAACCCCAGCGACAGAATCCCTGGAGGGATGCAAGGGGAAGGCGGGGTAACAGCCCCCGTCACTCTCAAAGCCCCGAAAGGCAGAGGCAGAGGATTGACCCTCAGGTTCTGGAGGATCGCGTGAAGGAACAAGATGAGTTGATACGAAGGATGGCGGTGGACATGGAGTTGATGAAGCGCCAGATAAAAGAAAAAGGGGTGGCGACAAGAGAGGGACGCAAAGGTAGTACGCCCCCTCGCCACTCGAAAGGTCGTGGTAGACACACCACGCCATCACAAGTAGAGAGTAAGAGCCTTAGAACAGGCGACACTCAAACAAGGACGTCCAGGATTCGTTACTCCAAGTCTTAGAGAACGAGACCCGAG